TCGAGTAATGTGAGTACTCATGCTGGCAAGTCGTGCTCTCTGGATGAGTACATTCACTAGGGATACCATCAGATGGAGAACGTTTTGGGCTTTCTTTCTATATATAAGAAATTAATATATTAAAAAAGTCTAGTGATAAAAATCTAAAAAGAAACAAAGAGAGAAAAATTATTTGAGGCACACAGTAATACAAATACATTATTTTATACATTTTATATTAAATAAAATTAGATTTATTATGGAGTGATCCAGATCCTCAAAATCGTTCAGGTTGTCGAAATAATGATAATAGATATATCGGTTGTTTTTTTGGTTCAGATGTAACAGAAGAATTTCTTAGTGAAAATAATTTTTCAATGATTATACGTTCACATCAAGTTAAAGAAAGAGGTTATGATTTTGATCATAATGGAAATATTTTAACTATTTTCAGTGCATCAAATTATTGTGATGGATCCAATTATGGTGCTTTTGCACGATGGTTAAGAATTGTAATAGAGATTCTTTTTTTGGAATACAAAATTTATTCTAGGGATTATATGGCCGATGGACCAGAAATGACTTCGTATACATTACAAGATATGAGTCCAAATGAACAATTAAGTTTTAATAAACAGTAAGATAATTAAGATAGATATATGTTTTTTTTTTGTTATTCTTTTGAGTTTCATTCAAAGAGTAACATTATTTGAAGATCCAGTTTATCAAACATTAATGAAGAAAATTGTAGGAAAGAAAAGTTTACTTAAAAAAGAATTTGAAAAAGCAGATAAAAATCAAACTAGTATTGAATTTTTAATACAAATTTTTTCGAATATATAATTTTATTTGCCTATATAGAGCATTTATCGCCAACTATTTGGTCTGATATAATGGAAAATATTCTTCAAATTGATTTACCGTGGTTGACTCTACGTTCAAAATTTGTAAGAGAAGATGCACAAGGAGTTCTATATAATACTACAATTGAAGATTATGCGTTAGATAATACAAAATTTCAAAAAGTACACATAAATATTAAAAATAAATCAATACTATACTCTTATAATTCTAGACTCATACGGGTATTATAGAAGATCTCTATATGTGGAAAGATACACTTATGGCATTATTTAATTTAATCGATTCTGACCATTCGGGTAAGATATATATATATATCATTTACGCGCATATATATATATATATACATATCATAGGTTTTATAAGTCGTGATGAATTTTCTGATGTTCTTAAACTAATATTTTATGGTAAAAATGTTAACAATGATGTTAATCAAACATA